CAGCCACCATTGTCTTCCTCTTGTCTTGTGAGCCCCAAAGTACAGAGATGCCTGCCTCAGCCCTGGCCCTGGGGTCCTGGCTGGTCTGGCCCTATAGCCTTTGTTCCACAGCTAGTCTGGGCTAGGGTCAGCCCTGCGCCCATGTGTCCTGGCTCCTGCCAACAGGGCAGCAGTCAGCAGAGCCTGGCCTGGCCATGCTCTGGGACCACTTCACCACAGCCCCTAACCTGAAGGCCCAGAGCACGGAGGGGAGCCCTGTTCCTACCTCCCAGGGCTGGTCTGAGTGTTCACATGGTGTCCTGGTATGTCCTGGCACACATAGGGTCCTGGGCAGGGCATGGTACTCCCAGGCTCCCATGACATGCTCTTGGCCACTTGCCCAACACCTGCTCTGGCCAGTCCCATGGCATGGGCCAGCTTGCCTGGCCAAAGGGGACCTGTAGCCAATAGCAACTTCCAGCCCCTCTGGGAGTATGAAAAGGGCCCTGTCTTTGCCCGTGGGAATAGAGGAGCAGCTCTCTACCATTGGCCTCTAGCCCAGGGCTCATCCACACTTGCCCTGAATCTGGGGTGTGGGAACTCACCCAGACCCTGCAAGCCACGGGCCCTGCTCCATGTGGGAACGACATCTGCCTGCAATGGGCAGAGTTCAGCAATGTAGGCCCAGGGCCTGGGGCTTGTGAGGAAGCTTTAGCAGCCCTCCCCGTGCATACACACAAGCACAGGTACACCGTGTCGAGAAACTTGTTGCTGTGCACCCACGCCTATGTGAACACACAAACCCATGTATGATTGGGCAGACCCAAGACTGATAGGTTTCCATCTGGGAGTCCTGGGAATCAGGCCCAGCTTGTGGCCGGCTCTGCTTTCCAAGCATCAGATCCTGGGCCACCAGCTGCATGCTCACACCATGTCCCTTCTGTGAAATGTACTCATAATGGGCCAGCCATGTGGGATCGTTGTAGGGCTCCAACACAGTGGTGTTTGTGCCAAGCTCAGTGACGTGGGGGATGAAGAAACACCCCAAACATAAGTGGAAGCCATTCTTGAAGGAGGGGTCTGCCAGGCAGGGGCCTGGGTGCTTCCAATCAGAGCTGGGGCACTGGCAGGGACAGGGTGGGGACAGACAGCTCTTACCCACAGCACTGCTGTGCCGGCCGGTGGTGCTCCGTCTGACAGCCCTGCCACAGCCCCCGCACCAATTACAAGCACTTAGTCATAATTTCCTGCCTGAACATCCTCTGGCAACTGAAGAAAGAACAGCCCCTCTTCCCACCCCCTGCAGCCCACGGCTGAGCCAGAGCCTGATGCCAAGGATGTGGCTGAGCCTGAGTCCTTGGCCTATGAGGTCTGGCCAAGGCTCTCTAGGGGATGCAGGTGGCCAGCAGGGTGGGGATGTATTTGAAACAAAAGGGATGAGCTGGACACAATGGTTTATGCCTGTAATCGCAGCAATATGGGAGCTGAGACAAGTGGATTGCTTGACCTTGGCAGTTCAAGACCAGCCTGAACAAGAGCCAGACTCCATCTGTACTAAAAAACTGAAGCAAGAGGGCGGCGCCTGTGGCTCAAAGAGTAGGGCACCGGCCCTATGTACCAGAGGTGGTTGGTTTGAACCCAGCCCTGGCCAAAAACTGCAAAAATAAAAAACAAAAGAAAAACGGGAGCAAGAATGTCTCTCAAGGCATGAGTATGAAGTTGCTGTGAGCTATGATGATGCCATGGCACTCTACCCAGGGTGACAGTGAGACTATGTCAAAAAATAAAAATAAAATAAAATAAAACAAAAGTGATGGAGTGTTGACTTGGTGTCCCTGATAACAAGAAAGGCCAGGCTCCCTGTGAAACTGCATTTGCCAAATGGGTACTTCAAGCCAGGCTTTGGTGTGTCACCTGTTCCATCCTTGCAGAATGCCAGTGAAAGAGGTCATGTCCTTCATATCCTGCCAGGTAACAAACCACACCAGGTCTTTAGGCTTCGAACTACAAAAAAAGTGGATTGACTCACACCATTGCTGTGGGGCAGGAGCCCAGGAGAGGATTAGCACTGTGGTTCTGGCTGTGCAGTTGCAGTCAGGACATTGCCAGGGCTGCAATGCCGGCTGCAGGGTGCTGGGCTCACCAGCTGGCCAGCTGGTGTGGCTGTCAACTGGCGGCTCAGCCTGAGCTGGGGCCTCAGTCTCACTCCAGGAGGCTTGGGCTTCCTAACAGCAGGGCTTCCCCAGAGTCCATGTCACTAGGGAGCAAGGCAGAGTTTTTAGGTCCTAGCCTTGGATGTTACCTTGGCCCCCAAGTCCGCTCAGATTCATAAAGAAGGATCATAACTCCAGCTACCAATGGAAAACCCATGACTGGAGTTGCTGAACCCCTAGACAGACTTGTCAGACTGAAGAGACCTGTGCATGGTGCATGGCCCCTGCAAGTAAGAGACAGATGTGAGCCCTAATCTACCCTCTGGGAAGGGCCCACGGCAATGGGAAGCTGCAGGTGATTCCTGAACAGGGTGGCCAGTGTGGGGCTCCTGGGCAGTTATATACTTTCTCTTCTGCTTACTTGAAAAACCTACATCCAATGCAGAGTCATACCCACACTGTTATGAACATGACTTGAGGTGGGAGAAACCCACAGCTGGCAGGACTTCTCACCACCCCATCCATGGTTCCCTCCCTGGAAGCCCCTTTGGATCCAGAACTAGATGTCATATCACCTGGTGGGAGACATAGTTCAAGTGTAAAGGCAGGAACTACTGAAGGCCAGTGGGTCCTGCCCTGCCACTGACCAGCTGTGTGACCTTTGGCAACTCACCCCACTATTCTGAGAATCAATTTTCTCTTCTCCTAAAATGGGAGAATTTGTCACTACTCCAGGCCAAGCAACAGAAATTTACCTCCAATTGGCTCAAGCTGAAAAGGAACTGACAGCTTCTTAACTGGGAAGCCTCTGCTCAGAGGCAGGGTCCGGATGTGCTCTAGAGCCCACCCATCTCTGTGGGCATCATTTCATGCAACCGCAGCCCACATAGAGCTAAGTGGTCCCCATCCCACCACTTAGCAATCCGAGAGAAACTCACAGGTCTGCTCAGGACTCAGGTGCACCCCTGAAGCCATCACCATGGCCAGGGATGGCATGTGTCCACACCCTGGGGTCTGGATGGTGGGTCCCCAGTGGAAAACTGGGTTATCACAAAGGAGGCAACCATGGACATTTCATGATACAGTGGCCAGCATCCTCCCCAACTCACCCTGTAGGGGCATGGAGAATAAAAAGATCATTTTATTTTTATTTATTTATTTATTTTAAATAAAAACAGAGTCTCACTTTATCACCCTTGGTAGAGTGCCGTGGCCTCACACAGCTCACAGCAACCTCCAACTCCTGGGCTTCTCTTGTCTCAGCCTCCTGAGTAGCTGGGACCACAGGTGCCTACCACAATACCCGGCTATTTTTTTGTTGCAGTTTGGCCAGGGTCAGGTTTGAACCCACTACCCTCGGTATATGGGGCTGACGCCCTACTCACCGAGCCACAGGCACCACCCAAAGATCATTTTATTGTTACAGGTACAACACTGAGCAGGGTTTAGCCACTCTCTGAGATTAGGGCCCAGCTGGTAAGAGTCACCAAGTCCTTACTGCCAGGCTGGCTGACTTGTTCCCTCACCTCAGACCCTGCATCCCAGCAGCACAACAAGCACGTTGACCACAGTGTCTCTGTGGTGGCCACACGCCCTATGGTGGGAGGTGCTGCAGAAGGGGGCTAAGCACAGCAGCTCTGGAGAGAACTCCTTCCCTAGGCCCATCTCTGCCTCATCTGGCTGAGGGCTGCTCCCCAAGGCCCCCGTGGATGCCACACAGGCCCCACCCCCATGCTAATGCTGACCCCCGTGCCACCTCAGCTGCACCCTGAGAGAAGCCCCAGAGCCAATGCTTCCTGGCACAGGCAACAGTGGCTGCAGGACCCCCTCCTGCCCTGCAGCCACCACACACAGGTGGAAAGGGTTGTACTATAGAACCCTTAGAGATAGCAGTGACGGCCCTTCCGGAATTTATGTGGCAGCCAGGTTACCATGGTGATGCCTATTAGCCCTGTTTAACAGAAGATGAATCAGGAGCTAAAAATAGGCATCAGAGTAGATGGACGGAGGGTGGGTAGATGGGCTGGACTCAGGGTCGGGACAGCTTGTTTGTCTCAGATAAGGTAATTTAGGGGAATCTCAATTGGAAACACCAGAATGGCTGGGAGCCTCAGGCTGCTGGGGCTGTCCTGGCTGCAGGGGCACCTGCGTGCGCCCAGTGGCTTGGAGACCTGTCGAGTACCCCCAGCTTGGCTCCTCCTGGGTCCCCCCACCTGAGCAGACATGGCTTCCCAGAACTCTGGCAGCCTAGGGCCAACTCAGCTGCAGCCCTTGCTGGTGTGAGTCTCAGGCCTGGGGCTCCTGGGGCCTGAGTGGAGATTATACAGGGTCCTCACCCCCTCAGCCCTCCCAGCTCCCTATGCACCCTGAGAGGGTCCTTCCTCTCCCAGATGCAGCCCAGGTGGGCCAGGCCTGGGGAGTCCCTGCTGTACATATGGAGGCTGGGGGTGCCTGCCCGCCCCCCAAGTACACGGGGGCCTCTGCATGGACAGGGGTCAATAAAGGCACCAGACTGCTACATGGACCAGGAGACACTTTATTACACCTGAAGCCTCCACTCCAGGCCCCACAGACACACAGGAAGGAAGGCTGAGGAGGGAGCTGGGAGAAGGGGGATGCCCTCCCACACAAAAATTAGATGCACAGAGGGCCCCATCTCCAGGGGCCCCCTCCCCACCAGTCAGGGCCAGGCTCCCAGCTGAGCTTGGATTTCTTCCTCTTTCAGCCCTGGGGGCCTAAGCCAGCAGGACCACGGGAGACTTCAGGAGGGCCTGTTGGGGACTAGAGGCCTCTGGGAAGGCAAAGGGACCCCGAGATGCTAGAGATAGGACTGTGTGGACGCATGACCAGCTGCCCCCTCCAGGATCTTCATGTTGCTGGGCCTGGGCCGCCCTCAGGGGTATGGGCCCCAAGGGCTCGAGGAGGCAGTCCCCGGAGGCTGTAGTACTCCACCACCTGCCTGGGCACCTCAGCCAGCACACACTTGGCCAATGCTGCGGGGGATGCCTGGGGAGGGCCAACAGGGGAAGGACAGTGAGGTGGCACCTGGAACCTTCAGAGCCTCCAGCCCGGTCCTCTACCTGGTCACAGCCCTAGCCTGTCCTTGTCCTGCAGAGCCCGGCCCTTGGCACTGTGGCCACCCTGACCATAGTGGTGGGGCCAGTGTAGGGGACACCACCAGTAGCTGGCCTGTGGCAGGTGAGGTCTTGTGAGGGATACAGACTCATCAGGGTGACACATCATCAGCGACCCCCCATGCTGCTCTCCCAGCAGAGGCAGAGAGCACCCACCTGAGGAGCACATGTCACGTTGGTCTGTGTGATGTGGACTAGGGGCTTTGCTGGGCTTGGTTATTCCTCTCCTGGGCCCCCCACAGACCCTCTCCCCTCTCCCACTCACATTCTTGAGGTCCCGGAAGGGCACAAACTGCACAATGTCACGGAGTGCAGGCTCCCCCCTTGGGGCACGCAGGGCGCCATCATCCCCGTCCAGGATCTGCATGTCAGTGAAGTCGGCATTGCCCACCCCCACGATGATGATGGACATGGGCAGGTGGGAGGCGCGCACGATGGCCTCCCGCGTGTCTGCCATGTCAGTCACGACCCCGTCGGTGAGGATCAGCAGGATGTAGTATTGCTGGGGAGGGGAGAGGGGGGCTCACACCGCCTTCAGGGATGTGGCCCAGGGCCTCCCCTGAGCCCACTCATCTGACAGGTACAGGTACAGCTGGGCATGCGTCTTGAGCATAGCAAATCAGCAACACTGACCGAGGGCCAACCCATTCACGGGCCAACACACACAGCCCCTACCGCGGACCCCAGGCACCTACTGAGGCTTCCCTGGTGTGTTCTTCTGCTGCTGCCATGCGCGCCACCTTGGAGATGATGGGCGCCACATTGGTGGGGCCGTAGAGCTGGACCCTGGGCAGGCAGTTCTGGTAGGCCTCCACCACACCCTGGATTCCTGTGGGGGCAGGGGGTGAGCCCAGCCCTGTGCACCCCACCCCAGGCTCACCTCGAGTCCTACCTTCACATTCATCGTCCTCAGGGTTGAAATTGATGGCAAAGTCATGGGACACCTGGGTAAGAACAAGAATGGCCAGCAAGGTAGGGTCCCATGCTCCCCACTGACTGAGGGAAGTGGGTTTGGAGTTTCTGAGGGCCTCCATAGGGAAAAGACTCCATGGAAGGGAAGCTGAGACATGATGGGAGGCAGAGCCATGAGACAGAGGGGCAAGCAGACATACAGTTCTGAGACATTGCGTTAGCTCCTGGATCCAACCGGACCTGAAGATTCTAAGTTTTTTTTTTTTGAGACGGAGCCTCAAGCTATCCCCCTGGGTAGAGTGCCATGGCATCATGCTCACAGCAACCTCTAACTCCTGGGCTCAAGGGAGTCTCCTGCCTCAGCCTCCCAAGTAGCTGGGACTACAGGCACCTGCCACAACGCCCGGCTATTTTTTGGTTGCAGCCATCATTGTTGTTTGGCGGGCCTGGGCTGGGGATTCGAACCCGCCACCTTAGGTGTATGTGGCTGGCGCCTTAGCCGCTTGAGCCACAGGCCCCGAGCCAAGATTCTAGGTTTCATTAGTTAATAAATCCCCCACACAGCACTTTTTCTGCTAATCCAGTTGAACTGATATCTGCAACCAGAAGATTCCAGACTAACGTTCTTCCCATCTCCTGACAGAATGTGTAGCTTGTCTCTAGTCCCCAACAGCTAACAAGTCCTAGGAGGTCAAAAGTCAGCCTCACCAACCACTAGACCAGGTCTCTGCTGCCCCCCACTCCCACAGCGTCTGGTTCTCAGCAGGAAATGACAGCAACCAGGGGTCCCTGGGGACCCAGGCTATCCTCTGCCTGATGGGCACAAGAAAGGATACAACTCCAGGGGTCCCCTACCTCATATTTGGGAGGAATCCGAGCTCCAAACCCCAAAGCAGAAAATCTCTTGTCACTGGAAGAGAGGTGGCCTGATCACCTGGGAAACCTGATTCCTGGGGTGGGGTGGGGCCCACTGTAGGGGAAATCAGAGCCCAGGAGGTCAGGGCCCTGCTGGCCTAGGCCTGGCATCACTGCCATGCCATGGGGAGACTGAGGCATGGGGTGCAGAGAAAACTGGGCCAGGCACAAAGGAAGTGGGGAGCTGGCTTGAGCTGATCCCTAAGTCTGCCTCTTCCCAATGCTCCGCCTCTGCCCAAACATAGCTGTCTCTGCCCTGCAGACACCTCCTCTGCCCAGGCCAAGCCACCCCCGTGAGCTCCATGGCCCTGGTTGGGGCTGGTCTCCTGCTCATGGTTCTTACCCACTCGACCATATGGGAGGACTCTGGGAAGGAGCTCAGGGCATCCTCTCCCAAGCCCAGAGCCAGGGCTCTGTGTTACTGCCATGAGCTCAGTGTCCAGCCTGCTTGGGTTTTGCACCCGGCTGCTGCCTGACTGATCACCCTTGGGTAAGCTCATGACCTGTGCCCTGATGTGCAGATGGACCCCCATGGTGTCTGCAGTCTGCACTATAAGCCTCAGGCAGGTTCTTCTGATGAATGGACAGTCATGATGCCCACCTGTGGGGCCACTAGACCTGACCTGGGATGGAGGGGGCGCACCTGTCATAATCCTGGCAGATCTCACCCACGGACACCAGTGCCTGCAGGTAGTCATTGGGCTGGTAGGGGTTGATGTAGTGCAGGGAGCAGCTGTTCCGAGGGTCCCCATTAGAGGCCGTGAAGTCGATGGCCACCTGCAGGAGGCCCAAGAGGGATGAGCTGGGCTGGGCAGGACATCTGTATCCCACATTTGACAGGCTGGAGAAACTGGAGCCCAGAGAGGCTGGGACTTGGGGCCTCATGTGTATGGGGAGCTGGGCTGCACCCAGAGACAATGCTCACTGGGATAGTCCCACCCGCTCCACAGGGCAAGGAGAGGTCTCCCCAGGCCCTGCCAATCCCTTAGCTCCCTGGATCCCTAGGGGATGCCCTGACCAGGTCATAGAGCTGAGCCTCGGCCCCTGGCACAATATCACAGTTTTGGGACAGGCTCTGGGGGGACAACATCCACCTCTTCACAGCTGACACCCCCGCTCCGGGCCCCTGCCACTGCTTCCCTGAGCCATTCTAGGGTCTCAAACCAGCACATCTGCAAAGGGACAAAGTGGACAGCTCAGGGGCCCGTGGCTGCCCTGCACTCTGCCCTGGTGCCATGCTGTGTGGTAGCTGCAGCCTGGGGCTTGTCTGTCTCTGGCTTCCAAGTGCTTACTCCCCCTTTTCCTGTTTTTTTCTGCTATTGCTTCTGTAGAAGGCAAGCCCCAAGGACACTGTCTCCAGGATGGTACTGGCTAGCTCCCTGCCCCACCACACCTGCTTTGTTATCTGCATAAAGAGGGACCCTGCAGGAAAAACCTAGCTCGGATGTGGGGATGGAGCTGCCTGGAGGGAGCCTCCATTTCTCTGCATACCTGCAGGGCGCCCCTTCCACTCTGTTCGTGGGACTTACAGTGCAGTGAATCTGGCAGCCGCCCATGATGTAATCCAGGAAGGAGTAGACCCTGTGGACCTTCCAGGCAGCAGCGTGGGCAAGGCTGCCCAGGACGCCCCCAGGAGACAGGCCCTGCTGGGGTCTGAGAGCAATCCCTGCCCCATCCCCTTCTCCTCCCCTCTCCCCATCACTGCCCCCCCCCCGGGATAGGGACAATCTGAGAGGGGCTCACCCTGCCCGGCCACCCCAAAGAGCTCAGGCAGGACCAGCAGAGCCCCTCCCCACCCAGGCAGGGCCTGACCTCACCTTCAGGTCCGCCAGAACCACAACCCCTGAGTTCTTGTAATTGCGTTTCTTCTGCCTGTACTTGGCGTTCACACAGTCCCACTGGGCCTGAGCACAGGATGGGCAGGGGCCCCAGACCAGATTGGCAGCGCCTGGGACCATCCCAGGGTGACCTCTCTCCACAGGTGAGTTCAGGGCACCCCGCAGGGGGGTTCGGGTGTAGCCACCAGGGGACCCACCATCCCATGGGGGATCAGCCGGGGGCATAGGGTGTAGGTCAGAGGAGGGTCCAGGTTATACCCCATGTGTGGCATGGCCCTGTCACCCAGTGCCCAGCCACCTCTGAAGCCTGTGGCCTGTGCCCAGGGACACAGGCCCTGGGGGAGCAGAAAGGAGAGCCCAGGGAAGCCCCCACTTCCCGCTGCTGCAGGCTGGGCAGATCCTGGGGAGAACTCCCTGCACACCCCCTCCAAACCAGATGCACAGACCCCAGCCCAGTGTGTCCCACAGATAGGTCCTATTTTCACAGCCTCAGTGGTGGAGCTGACAGGTGCAGAACAGCCTGGCCTGGGGCCTCCCACACACCTGGTCCTCCTCAAAGGCTCTCTGCATCTCTGCGAAGGTGGTGGAGAACTCTCCAATGAAGTCGTGCTTCCCGCGAGAGTCATAATCCCAGACCAAGCCCTGGGGAGTCCAAGACCCTCAGTCACCTGCCCCAGGGCCCCAGACTCTGAGACCCACCCACCCAGCCTGGACAGCTCCACCACCTGCCACCTTGTGCTACCCTGGCCCCTCCACTCTGAGAGTCTGGAGTGACCAGCCTCACCTTCAGGGGCCGCGTCTCCTCGCAGCTGCACAGAGAGCTTAGCGACACGGTGAAGGGCTCCCACACAGGACTGAGGTCATTCTTCACGACCTGAGGGCCAGGAGGATCTGGGGAGACCTGGGAGGCCCCAGAGCCCTGGAGTCTAGCCCTTGGGGCCGAGTGGGGACAAGGAGATCACCGCCAGACCCCAACCTTTACAGCTTTTGCCACATTCTTGGACCACATGGAATCCCTTCTCTTTAAATAGAATCTTTTTCACTCAAGCTAATTCATTTGAAAAGAAAATGCTCTCTGCTGTAACTGAGATCCCATTTTAACTGCAGGGTAGAAGGTGTCCCTACAAATAACTATAGTAACAACAAACAAGTTTGTGGGATTTCAGCTGTGGACACAGCCCCAAGGCCCCACTCCATTCACCTCCGTCCGGTACACTAGCTGCTCTGACTGGTCATCGTTGACTCGGAACAGCTCGAGGAAGGGGTCAGATTTGCTGAAGAGGTCCTGGGAGGAAGGGCAGGGGGTACTGGCAGGACAGGGCACTCTACACTTGCCCAGGTGCCACTACACCCCACAGAGCCTCCTTGAGAACAAAATGGGGCCAGTGCAACTGTACCCAGTCCCAATCCCTCCATGTTTGAGGCAGTGGCCTTGGGACTCCCAGGTCTGTCTCCCCATCACTGTATGGGGTCCTGAGTGCTCAGGGCAGCTTCCAGGGTCACAAGGCCTCATTCAGGACCCTGATCTACAGCCCAGAGCAGCCAGGCAGAAGCAGCAGTTGGGACCCCACTTGTGTGACACTGTCTCCTCAGCAACTCCCATTAATGCCATCTTGCAGGTGCTGCCACCAGCTGGGGACCCTCAGCCCCAAGGTGGGCAGACATGCTTACCTGCCTGTGGGTGCCCCATACTCCCTCACCTTGTCATCTAACTTCCTGGCCCGGAAGGAGAGTTCCACGTAGCCATTGTTCCCTGAGATGTCCTCAGCTATCACCTGGGAGGAGCCAGGCCAGGGCTTCCAGCTCAGTCAGATGGGGCCTGACCCACCCCCCACCGCCCCACACACCCCCCAGAAGGGTCTGAGAGGAATCCTTCTCAGGCACCCACAGAGCCTCCTGGCCACACCCTCCCCACCACCCGCCTCAGAGCCCCCAGCACAGAGTTGGAGCCCGAGGCAGTGGGCTGGTAGGGGCTACGGCCAAGGCCTCACCGTGATGGTGGACTTGCCGGCATTCCTGCCAAATTTCAGCAACAGTGGACGTGTCATTTTCTTCTGAGCCACAATCTGGAAGTCAGAAATGTCAGGCAAGGGATGGCTCCCATGTCCTGGGACACTAACTCGCCCTCAGCCTGTCCTCTGGGCTGTGTCCCCACCCTCCTCCCTGGGGCCCACACCCTTGGCCCTCCCATTGCTCCCAGGACATCTATCCCCCTCCACTGGGTAGAGATGCTGGACATCACACCCACTCGCCAGGTGAGGAGAAGGAGGCTCAGGCAGGAGGCGGCTTGGCAGCTGTAGTTGCCCTGACTCCTTGCACTACCATGAGGACCCTCGTGGGGAGGGGCAGGGGAGGTATGTCTGACAGTGCTGGCTGCCTGGACCCTCATACCTGGCATGTCCCTGGTGCTGATACAGTCCCTGCGGTCTACTCTCCCAGCCCAGGCTTTCCCCTCCTTGACAGCCCCTCTGTGCACCTCCTGCATCAGCTATGAGCCCTGACTAGGGCGTTGCTGACACGGACGCAGGTGGCTCCCAGAACATGCCAAGTGCTTGGCAGAGCACAGGGCTGGCGGGGGCTGTGTGGACCTTGGGGCTCCACAGTCCTTGTTTGTAAGTGGGAATGGTGCTGACTGCCACTCAGCTCCCGCAAGAGTTAACGCAGGGGCTCCATCCATGCTGAGGACTGTCTCTCCACACTCAGGAGTGTCCTCAGCAGGTGGTATGTGGGGACCACTCTCACTTGCCCAGCATGGCCCAGCCCACACCTGCTACTGGCTGGCGGACACAGTGGCGCCATAGTACAGGGGCTGAATACAAACCAGAGTTTGTATGGAGACGCTGAACATCACGCCCACTCGCCAGGTGAGGAGAAGGAGGCTCAGGCAGGAGGCAGCTTGGGTATGAGGGTCCAGGCAGCCAGCACCATTGGACATACCCCCCCCCCCACGAGGGTCCTCATGGTGAGCGGTGCAAGGGAGTCAGGCTCTCACCACCCACCATCGGGTCTTGCCCGGCTGACAGCTTCTGAGCATATTGGAACATTCCAGGCAGAAAAGAAAACAGATCCCAGGTACGGGGAACAGAAGAGGTAAACTAGGCTGAGGGGCTGAGAAAGTTCTCTTAAAGGTGCAAAGGGTCGGGAGCCTCAAGCCAACCCCCCCACTCAAGATACACCCCTATTCAAGGGTTTCACTTCTGGGTTCCCAAGACAGGGTCTGCCTCACACCTGGGCCTTTCCTGCTGTCCTGTACATCCCAAGGGCAGCTGCTAGTACCCTGTATACAGACATCATGGTGGTGCTTGAAAGAAGGTCTGAGCCTACCCTAGCTTCATCCCACCCACTTTCCCTTTCTGGCAGCAAAGTAGGTCCTTAGTGAAGGATATGGCTCACTCAGGTCTGGTGACAGTCTCCTATGGGGAAAAATGGGACTGCTGGTTTGTGTTAACTCCTACCTTTTTTTTTTTTTTAATTGAGAGTCTCACTTCATCAACCTCAGCAGAGTGCCATGGTATCACAGCTCACAGCAACCTCAAACACTTGGGCTCAAGCGATTCTCTTGCCTCAGTTTCCCAAGTAGCTGGGACTACAGGTCCCCTTCACAATGCTTGCCTATTATTTTTTAGAGATGAGGTCTCACTCTGGTCTCAAACCTGTGAGCTTAGGCAATCCCACCTCCAAGAGTGCTAGGATTACAGGTGTGAGCCACCTCCCCTGGCCTAACATTTAATAAGCTCTTTCTACCTGGACCGAGTACTCAGTTTACTTGAATCAGATGAGGAACCAGCGGTCTGGGCAGAGGTCATACCACCAGGATTTGAAGCCAGAACCCTCTCCTTAGGTCACCAAGTTAGGTGCCCCTGCTAAGCCCACCTGGATGGCTGCAGAGAGGAGCCCTGACACACATACAGGCATGTGTTTATATATACACACACATGGGGATCCATGCATGTGTCCATGCAGGTATGCATACATCGGTGTCCTGCCTGAACATGTGTGTGTACATAGGTGGTGTTCATATATGCGTGTCTATGTGTGTGCCGCCTCTTCCATCTGCATGGTGGGCACTTGTGCCTGGGCCTGGGTGCAGCCCTGCTCTGCCGCTCTCAGAAGGGGCTGTGCTCTCCCTAAATCTCAGTTTCCTTATCTGAAAAATGGGGATGACAGAAAGATCCCCAGGAACCAGCTCCAGCCTGCGCAGCAATGGGGGATGAGTCAGACAGACATTATGTTAAGTAAAAGAATCTCGCACCAATGAGGACATGCTGTGTGATTCATGTACATGAAATTCTAGAACAGACAGAACGAGGGGGACTGGCTGGAGAGGGGTGATGGAAACATTCTGTGACAGGGTGATGGTGAGCTATATACCACAGTCTAAGCTTGTCAGTCTCAGGCCTGAAGATTCAAGCACTTTACTGTATGTAAATTGTATCTCAATAAAAAAGAAGGGACTCCACAGCAAGTGGTGAGAATTAAATGTGCAGCACAGAGCCTGTAACAGACTGGTGGCTGGAAAAAGCTATTGTTCTACTGACAGTGGGGGACTACTGGGGACATCTAGCCAGAGGACAGCAGGTGGTGCCCCTGGAGGGGCCACTCCCTCCTGTCAAGGAAGTAAAAAAAGCAAATTGTAGAACAGAGAATGTAATTTGTGTTTTTCTTAAAAAGAGGAAAAAGAGAGATGTGAGAACATCTCTCTCTGGAAGGTGCCCAGAGACCTGGCAGCAGGGCTGCACAGGGGCAGGAAGGAGGCACTTTTGGCATGCCTGCTATACTTTCTGAGTTTGAATGTATTACCCAGTTCAAAATTATATCTTATAAAAGCTAATAAGGAAATTTTCTTTTTTTTTTTTTGAGACGGAGCCTCAAGCTATCCCCAGGGTAGAGTGCCATGCATGGCCATCACGCTCACAGCAACCTCCAACTCCTGGGCTCAAGCGAGTCTCCTGTCTCAGCCTCCCAAGTAGCTGGGACTACAGGAGCCTGCCACAACGCCTGGCCATTTTTTGGTTGCAGCCATCATTGTTGTTTGGCAGGCCCGGGCTGGGGATTCGAACCTGCCACCTTAGGTGTACGTGGCAGGCGCCTTAGCCACTTGAGCCACAGGCGCCGAGCCAGGAAATTTTCAAGAAAAGGGCCCTGTGGTGCCTGGCATGGTTGGGGAGTTTGACTGTCACTACCATGGGCTCCATGGGCTCCCTCCCGAGGGTGGGCACCCACCTGCCCCAGGGTGCACTCTATGCCTCCCAGGAAGTCGTCATCCTGACAGCTGAGGCCACTGGGCCCATGGGTGTCGTACACCTCAAAGCGAAGCTTCTGCGCCTCCTCGAAATAGTAGTCAAGTGTGAAGACTTTGGAAAACATGGGGTGCAGGCTGCTCCTGACCACCTCGGTTCTGCCCACCTGCAAGCAACACCCATGAGCTGACCACACTGCACCTCTGAAGGAAAGCCCAGGGCTCCATTCCAGTCTCCCCTCCCACTCATTTCCAGGCTGCACTGTGGGAAGCACCTCCCACAGCATAGCCTGTTCTGTGTCCACACCTGGGGGCACTCCCACAGCCCCTAATACCCTCTCTGCCAGCCCAGGGCTCCAGCTTCTCTGCATCTTCTCAGCTCACACCCATCACCAACTGCTTGGCCCCACATCACAGATGGGGAAACTGAGGTTCAGAGAGGAGAGGGTCCTGCCCAAGGACACCCAAGTCACAGATGGGGTCAGAGTTCAGCCCTGGGCTGGGCAGGAAGGGGACCCTTGAGTTCACCAGCCTCTCCAAGCTGTGTGCCCCCCTGCAGTGGCCCCCTCAAAGGACAAGTAAGGTCCACAGACTTCTGTGCCACCACACAGACCTCTGCACAGGTCACCACCAAAGCCCTGACAAGGATTTATAGCTGGGGCCCTGCCTGGAGGAACTGGAATGGTGGGCCCCCCAGACCTCACCCCAGCCCCACAGTTGGGGCAGGACCTTCACCCTGAAAGTCGGTGCCTTGAAGGGTTTCTCAGCTTCATGAAGCTGATGGCCCAGAGATGACAGGAGATACCACCAGGTCAGAGCAGTGGACTCAAAGAGCTGATCCCCGGAGGTGGGTGGGGAGACCCCTGGGTAGGCCCCCTCCACTGCCCCGCTATCACTTGGCCTCCCTGACCTCAATGCCACCGAGGGACTGCAAGAGCGTGGGAGCTCCAGGTTCTCTCGGGTGAGCTCCAGGTTCGAGTCTCAGCTCCTCCAACCCTCAGATGGCTTTAGCCCTCCCCCCCATTTCACGCTCCTGCTTCGTGGCCGTTACTAGTCCTTTCCAGGTGAAGCTGCGCGTTTCAGGAGAGACGAAAATGGAGAAAGCATTCTGTACCGCTCAGAGCCGGCAGACAGGCGCCGAGGGTGGCGGGGTGGGGGTGGGTGTCCAGGGCGAACTAGAGTTACAGAGACACCGCCCCCCCCACTCCCCGCCTCTGCCGCAGTCACCTGGGGTCGCTCAGGATCAGCGCCTGAGTCTGGAGGAACCCAAGAGACGCCGGCCGGGCAAGTTTCAGCCTCCAGAGTGCCCCGCCGGCCGCTCCTCCGCCTCGTGGGCGAGGACCCAACTGAAGCCAGGCGCTCTGTGGTCCGCGCAGGCTGGTGCAGAGGCACCCCGTGACCCCAGTCCGGCTCCGGCCCCTCCATTCGGCTGCACACCTGAGCCCCCATCCTCTTCTGCACCCCTTCATCAGGCTCCCGCCGGTATCTCCAGCCTAGGCGCTTAGTGTGCCCCAAGGGCCCCCCACCTGGAGCCATGGGCCGCACACCCGTCGGGAACACGCACTCTCTACCTGGACCCCTTCTAGTCTAGCCACTGATCTCCTCCCCACAGCTCCTGGATACCCGTCTCTCCATCTGGTAACCCCACCCTGGCCCTGCGCTCAGCCCCATATCCCAACGCCCCTTCCTGGTGTCCACTGGCCTCTTTGCGCCCACTTCGGTCGCAGCCTCTGCAGCTCCCGGGCCCCGCTCAGCACCCACACCAGCCTCCGGGCCGCCCCTGGCCCTACCTGCACCCACTGGCCCTGCGACTGCTGCAGCAGCACCACGCTGGGGTCGGACTTGGTGAGCGGGTCACGGTCCAGCAGGTGCCGGCAGCTGAGCCGCAGCTCCACCTTCGAGGCGCAGGGCGCGGGCACCATCCCTGGGGCCGCCGCCGCCCCGCGCTCGGAGCCCACGCTCATGCTCCCTGCGCTGGCGCTCGAGGACCCGGCTGGGCGCTCGGAGGGGCTGCTGCCCGCAAGTCAGCGCCGCAGCAGCGCCGGGGAAATGGTGGCCGGGCCAGGCGTGGCCGCGCTTCCCGCACGCCTGCCTGCCGGGCGCCGGCACACGTGGCTCGGGCGGCAGCCACCACGCGGGGACTGTAGGGGGTGGGGCGCGGCTGGGGATGGGGGTGCAGGAGAAGGGACAGCAAGGGGCTTGGCCAGGGGAGCAGTGGCAGAGGAGGGGGCGCTTCAGCCGACCCCTTTGCCTGGAAAGTCCCACCGAGGACCGAGCCCAGTTCACATTCCCAGGGGAGCCCCGGGATGACAGACTGGGGGTCAGGTGTCGGGGAGCCCCTCCCTGACTGAGTCTGCCCGCAGCCCTAGCGCCAACTTCCACCCAGGAGGCCCCTAGGGTTGGTGAGGGGGCCACCAACCCTAACTTCCCTGCTCTGTAGACTTTGAGACCCGCCATATCAGTCAACAAGCACTTTCTGTTATTCTGGAAACAGATCTGCGAAGGCACTGACTTCAGGGTGACAATGTGTCCACACAGCAAAAGCCACTTGTACCCCC